ACTGGAACAACAACCTTAACCACACACAAGCCATGGTGACATGAAATCCTGCTGGGCAGAGTCCACAGCAACGTTTACTTAAGGCATCTCCTGGCTGCCTTACCACAGTATGAACAGACGCCTGTCCTCTTGGGTGTGTTGTTCTAGCGTGCTTAGGTTCTTAGAGAATGACACAGGAACAGTTAATGTCGTCATGCTGGTTTACACTTACAAAGGTCTGAGAAAATGGAATGTGGGTTGTTTGAACCTGCTCCTCAGAATGAGACCCATCTGAATAATGAAGCCATCACAGGGACAGTAACTCAGATGCCGCATGGGGCTTCATTTAGAAAAGTGGCTTTGCCACAAGAAGAATGGCAAACAGCTTTTTAAAATATTCCAGTTTTGGTTCTAAACTTCACAGGAGGGCAAGAGCAGAGGGGAAGAAAATGCTTAAAGAAACAAATCTGCAGAGATTATGAGTTGAATTTAATTCAATTTCTTCCTTCCTACTGAAAATATGCCTGGCTAACTGAGGTAGGCCGGGGATAACACATGTAAAAACTCAGTTTTTCCAAAGGACATTTAGTCACTTCAGAGCGCACAAAGTAAAAGTGCATCTCATAGTTTTGAACATAAAATCAAATGGAAGTCCCTTCTGTAGCAGGGAAACTTCTCTATACTAATTTCCTATTTGCGCCAAATGTACCATTGCTACACCCAGCCAGTGGTAAAGCAATGTCCAGGTTTCAATTTTTGTTTTCTGTCATAAACAGAACTTCATGACATTACCTTAATATTTTTCCTGCTTTTATTGACAAGTCACCTGAAATTTAGAACTATTATCAAAGCTAAAGTTATCCAAAGTCAGAAAAACTAATTAAAAATTCAAAAAATTGTTAACGAGATGAATGTGCAAAAACATTATCTATTATCACATAGATTTGATTTTTAAATACTCATACAGATAAGAAACAATAAAACCAAATGTCCAAAAACAAATAAATAAGTACGAAAAGCCTAATTTAAAAGTATAAATAAGTAAATTACAAGAGTTCTTAGCTCTTTCTGCAAAAATAATAGAGATGAGTAAAACATTTGAGGTTTAAATAATTTTATCCCACTAATACATCCTCCAACTTTTTGCTATTGTGACAGATCCTTAGATTCAAATAAATATTATGTGTATTACAAATTAAATGGTATGTAAATAACATCATATAATCAAAACAGTAATGAACAAAACAAAGATACAAAAAAGTTAGAACAGTCATGATTTTTTTTTTCTCACACAAGTGACCTTTTCTTAGAAAGGACCAACACATACACTTTTAACATTTTATCCCTGACACACAGGGTATATCCTAATGTGCTTTATCTTCAGTAAGATAACAGGAAGAGCAGAAATCTACTATTACACACAAAGACCCAATAAAGAAGACAATGCTAATGGAGCCAACACTACCGTACATGAACTACCTGACTAGTGCTTCACTTTATCTCAAGCTGGGGGACAAGGGCGTGAGACATAAGTAACTATGTCAAGTGTCACTGTTTTAGGATTTACAGCAGATTCAGCAGCATATATAGAAACTTACTCCCAAGGGAGGAAGTCAAACAAACTCAGGCCATCTAAGACTTAAAGATGATACCATTAAATTTTTTTCATGTCCAACAGAGAGTCAGGCTATACAGAGCAAAATGAAAGAGTGACAATTACATTGTGAATCTGGCCTGCATTTTCTCCTGATGTATCTACATGACTGTTCATATTAGATTTTCTAGAAACCTGCTTATTTACTTTTTGAATAATGAGTTCAGTCTATTTTTTAAAAGATATTTGAGGGTCAAATATCACATCACGAAAACTATAATCTCCAGAATTCAAATGAAGCCCTAGCTATACAGCGTGCAATGTCTTAGTATTTTTGGAGACAGGAGTCAGAGCCTGATGTGTGTGTAGGTCATTGCAGAATGACTGCACTACCACTGACAAGAAGGTAAAGGCCATGATGCTATCATTTGTGCTCTATTTAGATAATTAGAGGCTGCAGCTTCCCTTAAAGAGCAGCTTGTCTGGTACATTTCTCCAACTTTACTTTTAAAAGAGGAATTATGGGAGCAAATTATTTACAGTACATGTGTTATATGTATACATGCTTATCATGATCGCACATGTAATTATGGCTAATGATTAAAAATCATTAAAAGTCAGATCTGTAATAGCTTTATGCTGTTTAACCAAATATATATCACCTCTAATTTTAAAGCTGATTAAAGAACAAAAAAGATGGGGGTAAACTTAATGTATATTACCTTTCCAAAACACACACAGACTACTGAATCTCTCCATCTATAACCTGAACCTCTTGTCTCAGCAGCAGAAGCCAGAAGCTACACAGAGTAATTAGAGAAAGTGCCAAGTTGGACTTCACTGACTCAGTCTTACAAAACAAGAATTCCCACCCACTGTCTTATACGCAGTAAGCAACCAATACAAGTCTGTCCATGAAGGGACTATCTGATCAGATACCAGCAAAGGAGAATTATATACAACTCAGTCCTACATTTGTTGTGCTATAATATGCAAAATACTCATGTTTTCAGAGGAGTTACAGGAATCAAATATTTCTATTTCAGTAATGCGTGTGCTATTGCAATACAGAAAAACAAAACAATTCCACTTCATTCTGGGTAAGGCAACACACTCTCTTTTGTGATTAAAAAAAGTATGTATATATATGTGTGTGTGTGTGTGTGTATACACACACACACACACACACACATACACATAAAGGTTGACTAGAACCCTGAGGGGCTCCTAAAAATCCTTTCAAGATTTAAAATATGCAAAGCTTTCTCCATCCACTGTTAGAACAAAATCTCCATTCATCTAATTCATCTCCCACAGTAAAGATAAGCTTCCTGAAGTGTAAGTCTCCAAATACTGCTTAACTGGTAATAAAGAATCATGACTACCATGAAGAATTCAAGTAAAAAAAAAAAAATCAATGCATGCAAAACCTAGAAAAGGTATACTTATGAAAATGTTACAGGAGTTTTAGCAATCACAACACTAACGTTTTAATGAGTACTCCTAAGAATTTAGAAGAAAAAAATGCTACTGTATATAGTACTAGATGGCAATAGTTTACAAGATAATTTTACTGGCATTGTTTATTTCCTTTTTGCCTCTTTGTTTTTTGAGATAGGGTCTAACCATGTTGCCTCAAACTCAAGATCCTCCTGCTATAGCCTCTCAGATTATTAATGTCCTTATTTTAAAAGTTCATGAGTGAAGCTATGCACATCTGGTAGTCCCAGCTACTCAGGAGGCTGAGGCAGGAAGATCATTTGAGCCCAGGAATTCAAAACCAGCACAGGCAACCCAGTGAGATCCCCATCTCAAAATAAATAAAAGCTCATGAACAAAACTAATTTTTCAAGATGAACTAATTCAATTACAGTAAAATCATAATGTCTTATAATTTGAAGATTTATAATCTGTCTCAAAGGAAAGAGGGCAATTTAAATTCAATAGATGAATTCATTCATTAGGTGACTACTAGAGTTTAAATAGTCAGACTTAAGTTATCTGAAATAAATAAACATAGGACATTTAAAGTTCTTACTAGGAAAAACTTAAATCTCTTAGGCAATATACTAAGAGTTTTCAAAGTGCCTGTAAAATATATGTATGTGTATGTATACACACACACACACACATATATCTATATATACACATATACCTACCCATAGATACCTATATATGTATGTGTACACATATGCACATATCAGTTTTAAACCAGTGGCTGCTATCCAAAACCAAAAATTCAGGATATCATCAAATACAAATTTCAAAAAGTTTGACCATTAAAGTAGAAACTGCCTAACAATCCAAATGGCATAAACACCACTGATTCTGCAGCGCTATCACAGGACGCTGTACTTGTGACAGATGGCATGCACAACTTACCTTTTCTGGCTCCTTTCTATTGTCTAATTCCTTCTGAATTAAATAAGCATGTCAGATTTCTATCCTAATCTTGCTGTGGGTACAAGTTCAATTCAAGGAAGATTTTTAAGTTTTTCAAATAAACATCACTCATTATACATGATGCTGTTTTGTTAAACAAGCTGGAAAACCATAAAGATTTTGTTTTGCATTAGCCATAGACACTGGGCTTGTTTAGAATGCCAAAGTATTTCTCTTAAACACTAAAGTCAAATTCAACAAAAAATCAAATAGTGTTGGAGCTGAGGAAAATAATAGCTGTATCTGTTTGAACATATTGAAATAAAAGTGAAACCAAACTTAGAAGTCTAGAATGAAGTACTTCTAATACAATCATAATATTCTTCCCACCTTTCCAATACGAAATATAAGAAACACCAGCAAAAAGTATTAGAGACCAGAGAAACAATCTGGCAAAATGATTCAAAAACCATAGAACACAGGATATTTCCCAATATAACTCAAAAAATAATCAAACAGCTAATGAAAGAACTGGTGGAAGAGGGAGGAGTAAAAATTATAACATGTTAGACTCTAAAACAGTAGGTAAGAACTGAATTCTACATGTTCAACTGGCAAATTCACTATTGCCTCCAAAATTAACTATTCTTTTCATATTATCCTTCAACAATGAATGAATTTAACACAAACCCAGGTTTGCTATTAACCGCCCCCCCACAAACACACGTCTTATGTTCCTTCATGCTCACAGAGCAAAGAATTGAAAAAACTGAAAGATGACAAATGCAAGTAAGAAGAAGAAATCATTCTAAATCTTTTGTAAACAAGTTTCTAAAACAGTATACTGCTACCTTCTGGGCCTCCCTGATATACTGGTTTGGGTGTTTAATATTAATGCTTGAGTATGTGGAATATTAACATAAAGCCAAAGAAAAGAGGCAATTAGTCTCTCTCTATAAGCTTTTCTTATTTCTCAAGTACATTTAGTATCTTTGTAGAGCTTTTTGTTTTGGGTTGGTTTTTTTTGTTGTTGTTTTGTTTGCTTCTAAGTGAAAATCTCTTCAATGAAAAATTCCAAACTTGTTTTTAAAAAAATTGCAGGAATTTCTTCACATTTTATAAACAAAAATACCACAAATGAAAGAACTGACAAAAAGTCAAGCAGATCCAAATTCGACCATCCATTTTTCATACTTCTCTAAGTCTGCAGCAGAGACAGACTTAGCAATTTTCTTAAGAGCCAACTCAAAATCTCCTTTGGTAACAGGCATCTGAAGTTCCTCCTTAGAAAGGGCACGGATCTCTTCTGGACTTAAGCCATTGATACGCCGTCTCATTGCCATTAAGGAAGCATCCCTAGAAATACCAAAATCAGTCAACAGTAATTCCTCGTAGTGTTCTCAGTGCTTTTGATTGTTACAAAGTTAGGAGACATTCAGATCATTTTATATGGAATTATGATACTACTTAGAATTTTCTATTTCTGAGACATCCTGAGGGTTCAAAGAGGATACGGACTTAAAATACAAAATGTGCAATGAATAAACCATAAAAGTCTAGGCTGCACTCAGATTCTTTTTCCATATCTATGCCTCAAAAACAGCCATGAAGTTTAAGAAACTGAAGTCAAATTTTCAATTGCACACTTGGAAATGGACATATGGCTAATGTTAAGATAACTCAAACCAGTTTGTCTACAGCCTAATTAGAGGGAGTAAAGCCAGGAACCCTGTCTCTGCAACATATGTACAAATAGTAGATATGGGATCCCCTACATGGAGTATTTGTGGGTAACTAAAGGCATAAACTCAGGCTTTTCCTGACCTCATTTGAAGCTCTATTTGAGCAACTGCAGATAAATATGAAGGTTTAAAAGAAATGGATGAGTCATGTTCCTTTAAGAACTATCAGAAAGGTCAAGCCAATGAAAATTCCAAATTTGTGAATGTTTTGCTACAGTGATGGTAGAAAGTTTTATGAGATTACTGTATGCCACTCAAGTTAGATGCACATAAAGAAAACACTAGCAAAAAAAGAGAAATGAGAAAAATGTTAAGGCTTTAAAGAAAGGCTATTGAGGTCAATTTAAATATAATTAGAAAAAGATCTAAAAAAAATTCTCTTTATTGAGTGATGTGAATTGTTTAAAAAATTACAATGTCACACTGAAAGAGAAATATTAAAATGCACATTTGTGTTTTTCTTCCCAAGCTTAAAATGATCAACTTTGTTCATGTGCATGTGGTCAAATAATGCCAAACAAAGCAAAGCTGAGGGATATTACTTATGTTGGTACAGCTAGACTCCAAGATAGAGCTAAATCAAGTGTAGAGTTTTCAGTTATTATTACGAAGTTAAATATAATAGTTTCTTTAAGAAAATCAAAGGATCAAAAACCTAAGTGAGGTCAGATGTGGGGGTACCTGCCTAAAATCCCAGAACTTGGGAGACTAAGTCAGGAGGATTATGAGTTCCAGGCCAGCCTAAGATATGCAGCAATACCCTGTTTCAAAAAAAAAAAAAGGAAAAAGAAAAAAAAATTTCACAAATGGGAAAAAATTTCAAAAGAAATGGTTATCTGACTTTAAGACCAGTGCTCCTACAAAATCTGCAACTAATGCCTAAAATGTCAGGTCATTAAAAATACCTGCAAACATTAGTTATGTCCGCCCCAGAATAGCCCTCAATCTTCTCTGCTATGTCTTCCAGCTGAATATCAGGATCCAATTCAACCTCACGAAGGTTGATCTTCAGAAGCTCAGCTCTTCCTTTTGCTGTAGGAAGATTTTTTGTTGTGGTTAGATGTTTTACTTTACAAATCATTTTGCATAGATATCATATATTAACATCCAGGAAAAGACAGTAATGCAAAGAAGAGTCGGTAACTGAGAGTCTACCAGTCTTCTCAATTCATCTCATGGCTCACAGAATCATAAAAACTGAAACAGAATTCAGTCTCCCTATAGACTGCCAAGATACCTATTATGAGAACAAAGGATCTGAGATCCTTTATGAAAATATAAACATTAGTGCATTCAAGCACCAGAAATGCTTCTAATAAAAAATATTTGGCCTAGTTGTACAGAACTAGCCTGCAGAGTGAAGCTCCCACAAATGAGTCTGCTCACCTTTTGATATAACAAAGGAAAAGATTTCTGAAACTCTCATCAGTAGCTTAAAGACATCCTTGAAATCAGTAATTAGTACAAAATGCTCATTAATAAATTTTTAAAAGCCAGGTGTTGTGGATCACACTTGTAATCTCAGCACTCAGGACATGAAGGCAGAATGATTATGAATCTAAGGCGAGCCTGGATTACATAGTGACATGGCCAGGGATGGTGACACATGCCAGTAATTCTAGCAACTCTGGAGGCAGAGATGGGGAGGCCAGCCAAGACAAAAAGCTAGTGAGACCCCCTCCCCATCTCAATTAATAAGCTGGGTGATGTGTACCTGTGATTCCAACTATTTAGGAGGCTACTGGTAGGAAGGAGAGCCCTGAGCAAAAACGTAAAACCCCACCTAAAAAATAACGAAAAAGAAAAAAGGGCTAGGGATTGGCTTGAGTAGTAGAGCACCTGTCTAGAAGTATAAGGCCTTGAGTTCAAACTCCCAGTATTGCCAATAAATAAACAAACAAACAAAACAAATTTTTTACTTGGAGAACCTATCAGATTTTTTTTTTCTGCAGTTCCAGGGGTTAGAAAGTGCTCTACCACTGAGCTACATCCCTAACTCCTACATAATTCTTTAATCAATCAATGCTTGCTATTTCACTATTTCTTTTAATGGGAGATCTGATAAAGTACACCAAGATAGCACAAAAGAAATTTATTTGGTTCTCTACAATTTCCTGACAAATAAAATAAAATTCATCTAAACTTTTGCAAAATTTTAAGTCTACAGAAAAAATAATTTACTTTTTCATCAAGATTCACAAATTATTACCATTTGTCATTCCTATTTGCCTATTCCTTCCTCCATCTTTTACAATTAAGTACTGACTATCCAGTATATTATACTTCATCTTAAATTCTTCAGCATGTACTACTAAGAACATACTTATCACTCTTATCAAGAAATTTATGGTACATTAGTATTGTCTAAAAAACAATTCAAAGTAAAATCTCCCCATTTGCCCTAAGCCTTCATAACTTTTCAAAACCATCACATACTGCCTTTAGTTACCTTGTCTCATCAGCGCTCTCTCAACTAAAGTAGCTCCCCAGTGTTTGTTTTTTATTTGTTTTGTGTTTCATGACACTGATAATTCTCCCCTCAACTGATATTATAGAGTTACTAAAGCATTCTAATAAAGTTCCTAAGAGGTCTTTAGAACCTTTTTGTAAATACTAAAATGCTTACAGAAACAGAAAGAATCACAAATAACCAAGAAACTGGAAGAGTGCTAACAAGGCAGGAGGAACTGCTCTGTCAGTTTATAAGACTCACTTGCAGAGCAACAGGATGCCTGCAAGTGCATCCTCTGTGGAGAAGGACCAATCATCAATGACAGGGAATGGGGAGCTTAGAAGTCAATCAAAGTGTATACTAAGGACACCTAATTATGACAGTGCTGGTTCAGCAAGAGGAGGAAAGAAGTGTTTTTTCAATTAATGATTATAGAACAAGTGACTAATTCACAGGGAAAAATGAAATTTGTTCTACCTCATACTATACACAAAAATCAGTGCTGACATGTTACATCTATATACAATGTAAAATTACAAGCATTTAAAGGAGTAATTCCAGAAAATATTTTAATGACTTCAAGGAAGTATTCTCAGAATACATATTTTTTAAAAAATCAACTATAAAGGGAAGGACTGGTAAATTGAACTCATTTAAATTAGGAACATCTTTCATCAAAGACACTAAATCTAGTGAAAACAGACAAGCTAACAGAGTATGTTAAGGTATTTATAACAGATAAGTAACAAAGGACTTATATCAGGCTATTAAAAAAAGTCCTTCCAATCAATAAGAAAAAAATCAGACTACCCAATAGAAACATAGGCGAAAGACTTAAACAGATATCACAAAACCTAAATAGCCAATACATAAAGGGAAAATTGCTCAAATTCTTTACGAATAAATGAAATGCAATGTAAGCCATAACAAGACAACACTGCACACCAATTTACTGGTATAAATTAAAAAGTCTAGCCCAGCCAAGTATTAGAAAAATGTGAAACAACAGGAACTCTTGGATACTGCTGGTAGGCCTGTAAAGTGGAGCACGTACTTTGGAAAACATATTGAACTCCTCTATTAATGCTGCAGATTCACAACATGATCTAACAATTAACTCCTAAGATGTAACACTCCTTCCTGGCCTAAAGAAACTCAGGTATTTTTGCAATTATACTTGGATAAGAATGTTCAATTAGCATTGTTCATAATAGCTTATAGTGAGAAATAATCAAAACATTTATCCAGCAAATACCATGATGAATAAATTGTGGTACAACCACAAAATGGATTCTATGGGCTGAATTGTACTCATTCAAACTTTTATGATGAAGTCCTAACGCTCAGTGCCTCAAAATAGGACTGTATTTGGAAACAGGGCCTTTAGCGAGGTAAGGTAAAATGAGGTCCTATTGGGTGGGCCCTAAATCAATGTGCCTAGAGTCCTTCCAAGAAGAGTCAGGGACATGGATACACTTAGGAGGGAGACCACATGAAGACACAAGAGGAAATGGCCATCTACCAGGCAAGAAGAGAGACCTCATAATGAAAGCACTTCTACAGATACCTTTGTAATAAGGAAAACCTAAACAAACACTTTAGCTTCATTTGCTCTTAGGTGAGTTAAAGATCACTAAATTTTGGAGGACATACAGCTGGGCAATATATTGCTGGTTTCCCAGGAGCTCTGCTGTAGATTGCCATGTGGGAACAGTGGCCTGGGTTACTTTTCAGAAACTTAAAAACCAATTTTGCTAAAAATAGTAACTTGGGTTAATATTATCACTTGGGTCTGTCGATGTCCGATGGATTACTGGAACAGAATAAAAAGACTTGGCATCTCTTTCTCCATATTATGTCTGCCCCTTTGTTGCCTAAACCTTTAAGTCAGCTCAGTTTTGCAAGGAGACATGTTGATCATTTGAGAAATGTTTTGTCCGGAACATAATACAGAGTTATCTTAACCTACACTTGCCTAGTCTTTCTTCCCCTTTCAAGGCCAAAGACACTTACCAGTCACCATGACCAGAAACAGCAGACCATGAAAGGAATAAAAAAGAGAAGGTCATGTTGAGCTCCTAGAAGAGCTCTGTCTGTTCCCAGACTGAACATGACTATTCCTCCCTTCATTAGCTTATCTCATTATTCCTTCCCTGTACCTGTAACCTCTCAACTCCCTGTGGCTCAGCAAAAGCTCCCTCTTCTCCATCATTTGCCACTGAATAAAGCCTTTCTTTATTCCCAACATTCATCTCTTCAGACGTCGGTTTTTTAGGGGAATGAGCTTCCAAACCTGGGTTTGGTAATACCTGAATCCTGGACTTTGTAACCTCCACAACTGTGAGTAACTTAATTTCTGCTGTTTATGGCAGCCCTAGACTTAGGTATTTGTTATGGCAGCCCTAGAAATTAAACATAATGGAATAGCACACAGCAATAAAAATGAACTCTATCCATATGTGGTAACGTGGATGAACCTTTAAAATGTACTGAGCAAAAGAAAGCAAGATACAAGTGAAGTCAAGTATGATTTCATTTACGTAAGATGAAAATAAAAGGGGGTAAAACTGTTTTTGAGGATATACTTTTCGGTGACAAAATTCTAAGGAAAAACAATAAATTACTGCCATAAAGAGAATGGGAGTTATCAGAGGGGGAAGGAACATGCTGGGGACCTGATGAGTTCTGAGGATGCTCCCTTGTCTTACCCTACAGTCCTACAAGTGGTTACATGGGTGTTTGCCTTGCTAACTTCAGGATAAACCAAACATTTTAATAAATGTTTCTGTACTTCAGTTATATCACATACACACAGAGCCAAGTAAGACAAGGCAAAGCAAAGTTGCACAAAGAACACAGTGGCAAAAAGAAGCAGGCAAGTGTTTTGAAGGCCTGCCAGGAAAAAAGGCACAACTAGAAAACATTCACCTCTATAATTTCTTAATCTTGAAAGGCTCCTATGTTGGACCTCAGCAAACAGGCCCATGGTGCCATTCACTGGGGATGCCTGGCAAAGGGATGGTCCTATTCAGGAGGATGGCAAGGGGACTAGGAAGAAAGAGGGAAGGGAGGAAGCTCCTATACACCTACTGTTAGCCAAGGCAGCTGTACCTGATGCTCACATAAGCACTCACTGCTCAGTGCTCCACACAGCAAGTGAATGGGTGAACTAAGATCACCTAATTCTTTCAGTCCAATACTAGAACACCACTGTATCTGTAAGTTCACTGTGGCTGAGCCAAAGAACCTAACCTCCATTTTAGTACACTGCATTCTTTCATAGAAATAAAGCCTTAGACAGCTGATTCTAAATGAACCTGGAACATAAACCTAATCCTCAGTGAGAACCTGGTGGTTCTGTGCATGGTAGGCGGCATCCACCTTTTCCCTAGGAACTAGGACTTTGGGGACAATTATATTTAATAGCAGTTGTATCAGTGACAGTTTAAAAAGATTCTAAGTTAGATTTATTGGTTCTATAAAACTAAATGAATGATATTTAATAACCTTGTGAAAAGATTTAACAAGGGATTAATATATTAATAATAGTATAAAGATTATCAAATGCTACATAATAAGG